TCTCAACTGGTGACCGTTCCACTGATGACCGGTCTCAATCGGTAACCATTCGCCGGTGACCGGTCTCAACCGGTGACCGTTCCACCGGTGATCGGTCTCAACCCATGACCGTTCCGTGTTGAGGATGTAAGTGTGGGTAGTTATTTCATCTATCACTAACGTCCACCCGACTCCGACTCCCATACCCACTCACATCCTCGGCCTCAAGATGGAAAGTTTACCGGTTGACACTGGTCGTCAGTGAAACGATTACCGGTTTAGACCGGTCACCGGTGGACCGGTTACTGATTCAGGTCGGTCACCAGTGGAACGGTTACCGGTAGAACGGCTACCGATTCATACGGTGAATCGGTGACTAACCATCATCGTTGCATCCATGGAGTTTTCGATATTATATGTAACAAAATAATTAATATCATATTTTCAAAAGGCATCTAATTTTTGAATCTATATATCCGTTAATGTACATGAATATATGAGGCACATATACACATGGAATTTATGGTGAATTAGATATTTTTCGTTGTTGTATTCGTCAGACTATTCAGAAATTCCATCAGTTTCATACGGTGGCTACGAAACCTGATGATGAACACCCACCAAAAGTAACTGATCGTCGAAAAAGCTTGATTAAACTTTAACAACTTCGAGACTATACACTTTCTTTGACTGGTCTCGCCTAATATGCTTATGCAGAATTAAATTTAACAATTAGTCTTCAAGATTCTGATATGGTTTCTGTGATATAGGGCCATTGTCATTGGAATTTGGATACATATCCATTTTATTTTATTTTATTTTCTCTTTTCTTTTCTTTTCTTTTCTATAGTATATTACCTTTTGTTCTATGAAATATTCTAATACGCCACTATATACCTATATATATACACATATCGGACCATCCCTACTTTGTTTACTGTCTAGCCATCTTCACTACCTTTCTCTTGTTGTTCTCTTTTGTTTTGCGTAGTTGAAATAAACTATTATTTCATCTTGCATATCTCTTCTTGAGCATACATCAAGACGTGACAGTTTCTTATGTTACATCAAAGAAACTGCGGATAATCCTTTCGCAAAGACATGCTCGACTTAACTGTTGTTAGAGTCATTTAAGTTGGTGAGTGGAAGATTGGTGAAATATAATATTTTCTGATGAAAGTAATTATGAAATCTTACATCGAAAGAATGGAATCCATGTACATCGATTTCGAAACGATCGATCGGTCTCAATTTCAACGATTCCAACAATGGGTATACAAACGAGGTGGTATCGTAAATGTATCATATATATTCATGTGTATAACGAACATATGAATTACACAATTGAGTCTTTTTTGAAAATATAATATTCATTTTTCTATTTATAACATAGAAAGGGGCTTATAATTTTAGCATCCCCTCTATAAATATTAGTTTCACCAAAATTCGGCTGTACTGAGTGAACAAAAATGGATTTTCTTCATAAACATTTGTTAAAATACGAACATAGTTTATCATAGATGTATTATAAACGATAAATGAGATAATAGATAGGGAATTGAGCAGGTGAATGAAATAATACAACAAGTGTCAATTTATAATATATTTTAATCTTTTATGAAAATAAATAGCCACTAAAATCCATAGAATATATATATATCACAAACGTAGAGAAGAAAGAATTTAACTTAGTAAAAGTTCTATTTCAACATTTTTTTGTTAAAATAGAATCAGAACTGATGAATATTATTCTCATATTTAGCAGTATCTTATAAGAGGTTTGTGATCGATGATCGAAAACTAGGTGCAATATCGTTAATTGAAATCTCTTAATGACTGAATGCGCACAGGTAAATAGTATTAATGTACATCATCATCATCATCATCATCATATAAAAAGTACGATACAATTGTTTGATTATATTTTACGTGGTATAATTAGTGATGGTTGACAAACGACGATCATCAATCAAATGTGACCGGCCATGAGTTTAGTTCGTGCAAAAAAAATATTTAAATTCTCTGTTATGAAAATTATTTTTCATCCAGGAAAACATCTCCAAATATATTCATCTTTTGTATCAAAGAAAAAATTCGTCTATTTTACAGTTGTTTATATCAGATGCTCCTGGACACGTATCAGGTAGATTTAGTTCAGGAATAATCTCTACCTTTATTTTAAATGTTTTGAGAATATTACCAATATGTTTTTAGTTTATTTTGTTTGATTAGTAATGCTGAATTTACAATTATCGAATAAATTTGATTCGATTATTATTTTCAGATTTTTATTTGTTAACAAATGGTATCTTGGTGGCTTTTTCGATATTTATGGGTGTATTACATACTTGGGCAATTTAATGTTTTGTATGTAAAAACAGATTGGCCTTCTGTGGATACATCAAATGTACAATTATTGACTCTTTTTTATAATGCACCAAACGGATCTGATCCTTTAGTACAGTACATTCATTCTATTGCAATGTTTAAATCAGCAATGATACTTGCTCAACGATACAACTTAACAATTCAAGGGCAGTTTATTGGATGGCAATCGATAACAAGTATTGGTGATTCCATGCGTACTCTTGGAAGTACTTGTGACATGACATCCAAGTCAAACATTGTTGGTATTGTGGGGCCGAGTCTTTCAAGAGAAGCTCAGGTTAT